AACTTATATTTTTCATTTCTAAAAAGCAACAAAAAACACCTAGATTTTGTATTTCCTGAGGAAAAGAGCTGCAGTATACCCTGCAGTATAACCTACAGTTCTCAAAGCCAGAAATCTTAAGGCAAGCAAAAGCAGCAATGTGGTTCAAAACCTAAACCCCTTATTTTTAGCATAAGTTAGGAGGTGTATTTTTAGATTTGGCTGCTTCTTAAAGCTTAGGGTTTTACCCTCACTGAGTAAGACTTAAAATATCAAAGGTTTAATGGGAATAAGTCAAACATATTTTCACTTTTTGATCAGTGATTCATTCAGTCTCTTGAATGACTACTGTTGCTCCAGAAGGACATATAGTGGAAAAAAAAATTCAGATAACAGAAACGTAATCAAAACTGCCTCCAAAGGAAGTAAGACCTGAATCCAGGAGAGTATTTGCATTTAAGTATTAGTTTTTACAAACCTATGTTACACTAAAATCAAACCATGCATTTATCTGCCTAATTCTTGCAGGAATACCCCATTTACTGATGCAGTAAAGAGAGAAAGCTGCAGAGCTGCACTGTGCCTCACTCTGGGGATTAGCATCAAAGACAGGACTCAGGGATGTCAGTCAGGTTTCTTGATGCCAGCACTATATTTATGAAAAAATGCAGGTGGGTAGATTCATTGTCCCATTAAAGGAAAGACACACTGCATACCTGCATGCAGGGATAATCTCCTTCCCCCCAGCAGTTTCCCTGACTTTGTCTGTATTTCCTCAGGGGGGTCTTCTGACATCCAGGCTAAGAGGGCAAGTAAGCTTTGGAAACAGACATTATGCTGGACGAACTGAAATCCATAAATGTGTCTAATGTAAAAATGGAGGCTATTAGGGAAGTAGAACAGCTCATATGATGAGATGCTGCTGGCATCAGTGATTTTCTCTGTGTGCACTTTAACTGTGAATGCCTCCAGTCCCCATGGGACTGTAGAAAATAAAAGTCATTCAATAAGTCTGCTTCTCTGTGTTCCAGGAGTGGAGCCCTTGCTGCTACCAATGGCATTTGGTTCTGCCTCTTACTCTTTACAGCATGGCTTCCTATGTCTCTTTTTCTCCTGGCTCCTTCCAGGAGCACATTTGCTTCCCAGTTTCTCAACCCTCAGCTGAACACCTCTCCCTCTGCAGCCAGAAGGGAGAAGAAAATGGAATTGTGTCCCTGGGTTTCAGTTAAGGATGTGTGGTAAGTTTGGGGCATTATGCTGGAGATTAGAAGAGAAGAAACAAAGATGGAAACAAAGTCACATTCATTTTAATGAATCACAGGAGAGAGCAGAGGCTGGACAGTATATATACCAGCAGCAGTATCCCTGACAGCTCTTTCTCCTACTCATTGGCACCAGGTGGTGCCCACAGTGTCTCTTGTCCCTTGTTAGTGGTAACAGACTTGGCTAAAGAGCAATGGACTGGGGTGGTATCAAGGTCATTTGGTTCATTTCTGTGCTAAATAACCAGAAAAGCTTTTTTGAGAGTCTCTAAAACCTATTTTTGTACAGGCTGAGACTTACAGAAGTGGTTCCCTGAGTGGCTGGATGGCATTTAACAGTCTCTTCTCTGTGGATTATCCAGTGTCTAAGAACTGATTTCACCTCTGCTGAAGAAGCTGTAGAAACTTAATATCTTGAAACTCCTGCCTGTTTCTCAAATTCAGCTGAAATCAGCCAATGGCTTCTGCAGTTTTGGGTGTGGGGGACAGAGAGAGCGAGACAGTATGATCACATACGTCTTGCATTCCTCAAATGACAGCCAAGGGGGAGAGGCAGCTCAGAGAGTGGGTAGGGGAGTACAACCAGATTAGATAACTGACTCTCCGCTGCTGAGAGTGAGAGGGGGAGAGAGAGAGAGACTGTGCTGCTTTCAGTGCTCCTACTCCACTATAAATAAGTGATGTCGTGACTTAAAAAAAAAACTACAACAAAACATTTTCCTTCTCTGCTTCCACCCAAAAACTGCCCAAATGGCTTGCTAAGTAGGAAGGAAGATGTAATAGGCATGGAGATGAAAGAGAAAAGCAGCACGGCAAATCCTTCCTTCAATTTAAATCAAGTATTGAGCACCCTGGAAGAATGGCAAAAAAAAAATAGCACTGTCAGAAAAATTATAGCAGTATTTTTTTTATTTTTTTTTCCCCCAATGCGGTTTTTCAAGATTGTTAAACATTTGGATATTTCCTTTCACTGCTTTCTGCCATTCAATTTCTGTTTTTTTGTTATTTAGCTTCTCAGATCAAAAGTGTTTTTTTTTTTTTTTTTTCCTATAAGGTATTAAGAATTCTCCTAAGGCAAGCTGTGTTTCTGGTTGAGGCAATGGTATGTGGATACCTGAAGCAAGATCAAATGGAAAGCTGAAAAACTACATGAACTTACTGAGAAGACCAAGTAGCACAAGAGATCCCTGAAAGTCAAACCATGATGTGATGCAGAGCTCATCTGGAACTGAGTAGCCACCACACAGTTTCTGTGCTGTTCATGGTACCATTACAGTAGAGAAGACCGGTGAGCTGGGATCTCAAAAAGAAAGGTGTGCACCAGCTGGGTAAGCACAGCTATTTCCTGCCTTTTTTTTTTTTTTTTTTTTTTTTTTTTTTCCCCATAAGAACATTGTAGAAGAAAGTTATTTTTTTTCACGTCAAAAGGATCTGTGTTCAGCCTCTGGTTTGCTGTTCCACAACACTTTAGAGTCTTACTCAAAAAAGAGCAAGAAGAGTGGAGGAAGGCTCCAGATAATCAGGCAAGAAAGGATGGGGAAAAGGGAAAAGGAGAAGGAAGAGGAAGAGAAAAAGAAAAAGAAAAAGAAAAAAAGAAAAAGAAAAAGAAAAAGAAAAAGAAAAAGAAAAAGAAAAAGAAAAAGAAAAAGAAAAAGAAAAAGAAAAGAAAAAGAAGGGGCAAAAAAACAGAGTCTGAAGAAAGAAATGCCCCTCACTTGGCCTCAACGATATGCAGAGAGGACTGAGGTCAGACTTGAGGACTCCCCATGACAATGCAGCTTCTGTGTTCCCTTGGTAGACAGTGATCTAAGTGGGGAAAGAGATCATATCTGCTGTGTTTGAGGTCTGGTGGAGTCGAGAGCAGTTCCCTGCCAGCTACACCAAGGTTTGGTTGCCTGATCTGAGGAGTGGGGAGAGGCAAAAGGAAGAAGCTCGTACCCTTGTTCATTGTTCCCCAGCTCTCAGACCGTGTGGTTCATTCTCTCAGGCAGAGAGAGCTGCAGTCACTGAGAGACTCAACTCCACTTGGTATTTAACAGGGCTGCGAGGGACTTGGCAGTGGTCCTCACCAGCAGAGTCACGCTAACCTAAGGGTTTTAGAGCAGTTTGGTGCCTCTTCTCAAGCACAGACATATAGCTCACGTGAAGGGTTTCAAGAGACAGGTTGGAAGAGTCTTCCTGAAGGAGTCCTAGAGGAAATGCTATATGCTCTTAGTGATGATGACTAGGGTCATTACTGGGTCTAACCCATCAGGGATCAAGAGTCCATTTCTGCCCTTCTCCATTCAACAGCCATTGGAGACAGGCCTTTCATAAGCAGCTCAGGTGGAATACCTTTGAGGGGAAGCACTGTGAGGGCAAAGGCAGAGGCTGGAGTTTTAAGGAAGAATTAGTAAGTCATTTTGAAGAGAACCAGGTCTAGCTTTGAAGCTGACCCTACTTTGAGTGGCACAGAAGGTTGGATCAGAGGTCTGAAGGGCAATTGTTATTTGATTCTATGCTTCAATGGGAGAAGTATGATTATTTTTTTTTTAATTTTATTTTTTTCCTTTTCTCTTTTAAGACATTTACTGCCACAGCCAGCAAGATAAAGGCTTTGATCAGAAAGTGCAAGTGAGAGTTGTTTTTGCTAACAAGAAGTAACTAATTTGGCACCAATAAAAAGAGAAAAATGAAGCATTTATTGATAACAGTTGCAAAAACAACCTTCTAACTTTTCTGTCCCAGAAACAACATTTAAACTGACTGTGTGTTCTCATATACAGTCTTAGGCAACAGGACAACAGCCCTTTGAAAAGAGAAGGAGCAACTTGTCATGAGCAGTGGGTCCTGAGAAAGTCTTCAAAACCACTGCATTAGTTCTTTTATACACACACATACATAACACAGAATCACCATCTTTGTAAAGACAGAAAATATCAGGTCATTCAAACAACATTTGCAAGCTTTCTTTACCCACCCAAGTAGTTTTATAGCCCTAAAGGGGAAAAAGCAAGCATATCATTCCTTCATGATCACCCATTCATATATACATCTCTCTCTTACTATGCTTGCTTTCAAATTAGGTACCTGCAAATATTTATTAATAATCATTTCTGCTGTGACAACAACATGTAAAACCTCAGTCAACATGGGGACTTCATTTTGCCAGGCACTGCACCAACACAGAGAGGAGGGAACAGTCCCCAGCATGAAGAGTCTTGAGTTGAAATGAATGCCTTGTGCTACCAGAGAAACAGAATATTTGTCCAGTGCCTTGCAGAGCACATTAGATAACAGTTCATGAGCCTTCTCAGTGTTCCTATGGGCTTTCAATAGCTGAAAATATTTTGCTGTGTGCAGTTCTTTTGCATATGGAAATCAAAAAGATTTTAGGCTCAAATCAGGTCAAATAGGATGAGTCAGAAGACTTCTATAACTCACATGTGGAATACAACATCACCAACATGCACTGTGGTGTACTGCCTTTGCACCTTTTTGGCACACATATGGATCTGTGAGATAATCTTCCAATGGAAGACATTATTGTTCCATCATCAAAATGAAAACTTAATTTTAAGGTGACATAGTCACTAGTTCTGCAAAGGCAGGGAGAGAGGAAAAGGATATTTTCACTTATGTCTTCCATAATGTTCTAAAATGAACAAATATTAAAACTCATCCCCAGTTCCTTTCTTCTGAAGAACATCCTCAGGTTGTTGCTGATACCTCCGCCCTGTCCACACACATTTCTTACAACCACATTCAGTTGTCACTGACCTGTTCCACACGAATATCGAATTCTCCATTCACCTTCTTCCCTTGGAAATATTTGGCCCTGCAGAAGAAATGAGAGACATGGGCATGGTTAAAGGTTTGGGGCTCTTATTGAATGCTATTTTGCTTCTGCAGTTCCGTTTTGCTGAAGAATTCCTATCCGGGTCACAGCATGTTTTCCTAATTCCTGTCTTCTTTCAGCTTTCTGTTCTCCAGGAGGAACCTGCCAAGCCAGATGAAAACCACACCGGAAAGTTCCTTCAAGGCTTGTGACTTTTACATTTCATTTTCAAGCTGAAAACCAAATGTTCTCCTAATCTTTTCCAGAGCAACAACTCTAATCAATGATCCCTTGCTAATCTCCTTTAATGCACCATCTTTATTCTGCAAAAGAAGGAGTGCAAAGTATGTCATGCCATCAGAAACTTTTTCTCCTGATGTTGAGCAAGGATCTTTATCATCACAGCTGAAGTACTTGTAAAGTTTTCTCTCATGCTCTCTCCCTAAAGATTTGCTTTTCCATTGTTTGTCTTTCTGCTACTAATGTAGAGAAATAGTATACCCATCTACAGCACCATGAACATAGGATATCCTGAACCAAGAAACTGTGTTAGTTTTGGAACTGAGAAATGTCACAAGAGGGACCATTTCTTTGCACCTTCCAGCACCTCTGCTCCTAGCTGCCTAAGCTAAATAGACCACAGAGCAATTCCAGGGAGGGCAAAGCTGACATTTGTGCTGGAGAAGACAGCATAGGAAAAGGGCAGGCAACTTTAGCCTTTTCATCCATATTTGCACATGAAGCTTGTTGTATTGATTAGTCAGCAGGGAAATTGCCAATAGACTTTCCCCTCTTAATATTTTTCTCAGTTTCTTCCCTTCATCAAACAGACTTCAAATAAGAAGACATGAACTTAAATTATTTTCTCAGCCCCCCCCTAAAATTTCAGGAAGATTGTGTTGGTTCCAAAATGCTCTTCTATTTGGAAAGCGCTGAAAACACAGTTAAGCCCTTCAAGAGCTATTTCCAGAGACAAAGTAACTCTCTGAGTTCTGTTTCCAATTGGCAAAGACAGGACAGAATAAAGAAGTAAAGGAAAATGAGGGGAAGCCGGCTTTGCTCCCTATTTTATAGTATTAGCAAAAAAAGAAGCTGGCTCACATTTTTACTATGTGTCTATTTGTTCCAATAAAAAAGGAGAGACAGTAGGAAGGCAATTTTCCCCATGGCTGAAACACACTAGTTTTCAGCTGAATTCTCCCCTCCTCCAGCGATGTGAAATGTAAATAAAAAAGTTGCTTTGTTTTTCTGATCCTGGCTCAAACCAAATCAAAAGGTTTTACTTTATTAGGAAAAAATACACAAAAAAAAAAGTCATAAGTTTTCTGCTTGGCTGTAATGAGGGCATCTGTGGGCTGTATCGTGCTTCCCTTCCCAGACAGCCCATCCATCAGCGTGGTGCTAATAAGACCTCTGCGTGGATGTTGGTGAGGGATGCTGTAACAGCCAGGTGTGACCAAGACTAAATGGCTCAAACAACCCCTGTCCAGTATGACAAGCAGAACTCCAGCCACTTTTCCCCCTCTTTTGACTTTACATGTTGCATGAAAAAAAGCAACTCAACAGACAGGCTGAGACATCACGCCTCTAATGATAAACAGGAATGCTAAATGTGCTTAATAATTCTCCTGTGTTTCTGGAGGTATGGCTGAGTCTGGCAACATTCCTTGCTCCTAAGCATGAGGGATATTGCTGGAACCAGCAACTTCTCAAAAACTGGAATAAGCTTTAAGTGGGCCCACAGGAACTGGTCTGAAATTTGAGGCGTGCTACTCACTGGTACAAGCTTGTTTTTATTCCCAGCACACTCGTAATATATACTCCTTACCCACATTTATGAAACACACTTCCTCCCTCTATGGCCTCTCTGCTTTGCTGACCAGCTGGTTGCAGACTCCTTGGTGCTGCTTTGCTTCAGCTTGTAATGAAGTGTGATTAGCCATGGTCTTCAGCCCGGTACAGATGGAGCAAAAGAGGCTTCCACTGCCTAGTCCAGGAAATTACCCTCAACACAGTTAAAAAATCCTCCCTCTCATCTCCACAACACTGGTTCTGCTCACGGGTAGGCACACAGAGGGCACATTCAGCATGAGGATTCATTGGGGCGACATCCTCAAGTTAGATGCTGCGTGACCTCTCCTTATCCCTCCTTCCACGCAGGTTGTCTCATCCCATCTCTCAGGTAACTTTCTTTTAAAAGCACAATATGTCACATTCTTTGAAAGACAGCCCCCAGGAGGATTAACCTGCTCTAAGCGTCCCTGAAGATTACAGGTGCTAAGCAATTTGCAGCAAATATTTTGGTCAGCCCATCGTTTTGACACAGCCCAGGGTAAGAATGAAACACTTCTTTCTGAAAATATGTCTGAAACGGGTGGAGTGATGTTTTCAATTCACACCTGGTGTTCCAGAGCCCCTGGGCAGTGGAGGCTATCATGCTGAAATGAAAAATGGCTTTAGCCTCACCCTGGACTCCTTGAAATTAAACTGGAATCATTGCTGATGCTGTGGAAACATCATGATACCTCCATGGCAAGGGGGAATATCTTTTGGTCAGTACTGCACAGCACATGAAATGGCTTCTGATCCCTACCTACAAGAGTACAGCACACAATGGATGGAAGAAATAACACATTGCTCTGATGGGCATGCAGGAGAAAGACGGGCATTTTTTTGCAGGAGAGACATCTGAGAATGCTCTCTCCCCCAAATCAACCTGAGCTTCTAGGTGGTGGGCTCCTCCAGACCTATTCCCAGGAATGTGACTTGCTGTGGGGTTTTCTAGGCAGCTTGTAATGCAGCTGTGAATCTCTCCCACAAGACCAGCTCAAATCCTTTCGAAGAAGCCTCAGAGTGCTCCCATTTACCTCAACCACAGCCAACCACCAGCAACAGGAGGAGCAGCTCATCACCCAGGATGGGAGCTGCCCTGCAGCACCCCCAGTTTGGGACACCAGGCAAGGCACCAGCCACACAAGCCCAATCCTCTCCTGGGCAGCCTGCAGTGCTCTTTGTTTTAAAGCACATCAGACGTTGAAGCTGGCACAGCAGTGTTATAATTTGGCAATGCAGGGTGTAGATGGGGTGGTGCGGTTGCTGTGATCTCAGCAAATTAGCATGTAAACATGTTGTGATTGATGAAAAATGCAGGGCCACGCTCAAGAAAAGTTCTTGGGTGGGATTGGCAGCGCTAGGAATTGTGTTTAAATGTGGCCACACCAGCTGGGAGAGAGGAAGCACCATAATAAACAGCCAAAGGTCTGCCCTGGCCTCCAGGGGAAGACCTTTCCTTGAACCCCTCTCTCCTTGCAATGAGGAAGCTGCACACCCTGGAAAGGGATAGGTTTTGAGGGTGCAAGGGCACCAGACAAGCACAACTTCTGCTTTCTGCCTCAGCCCTGAGGTGGTTACAGGGACACAGGAAACCTGATGCCTCTACTTATGAAGTAATTCGGAAAGAATAAAAAGCTTGTTTTCCAGAGCTGCCATGAAACAGTCCCCAGTCTGCCTCAGCGACCATGGCTAGAGGAAGCATATGGGTGATTTTTCAGCCAGACACAGAGTATATCCTGAATAGCAGCAGGGAAAAAAGACACCTGATGGTTATTACCAATTCACCTGGAATTACCTACATAAGAAAGAATTCATAGAAAATCCATGTATAACATTATTGGCTTAGGTATCTGTGAAGCATCCTTCTGAACAAGGGATGTGAGCGCTGATGCAAAGCTGCAATCAGATCTGTAAGGCACCTGAATACCAGCAGTGAATTTTATCCCTCTGGTGTAACTCTGTGAGCAGGGTAACCCATACTGCAGCCATGAGAAGGCTGCAAAAATCCATGTGCTCCATGCCTGTAGTCTGCAGACACAGGGATTTGGTCCCTCAGATGGCACCATGTCCCCACCAAAGCCTTGTGTGTCCCCAGACCCAGGGGAGGTAAAGTTATGGGTATGTGAGCTGGGGCCAACCTGGAAACACAGCATGAGAGCAGCAACACCTCTGTGTGGAACAGGAGCTTCCAGCTATTCCCACAGCTCTGTTAGCTGGGTGAAGCAGAGGTTATAACACATTGCACAGCTTTGAAGACAGGCTGGTATCTTGTATTAAATTCATGGGACTCCCTCAGGGTATCCTATAAACTGGTTTCTGCATTAACTAATTTTTGAGGATAGGACAAGATCAAGAAAATATAGCTCAAAGCATCCTATAAGAGACTGCAATGGAGCTGATGTAACAAATGTCATTGCAATTGCTGGTAGCATGTCTTGGAGTAACTAGATGAGTAAATAAGCATTACATCTGAGCCCCAACTCCCCGTGATGTGAATCAGCCCAGGCACCTTCTGGGGCATCACTGTGTGACAGAAGCCTTGAGCTACAAACTCAGGAGTGGGTTTGTTCCTGCTCCCCAGGCTCGGAGTCACGGCAAGCATGCCAAGAAATATTGTGATAGCAAATTCCTCTGAATCCTCTGAGTTTGTGCCTCTGGAACAAGACACAAACAGCAAAGAAAGAAAAGCCACTCTTTGGATGGAGACTGCTTCTCACCTGGAGCTCAAGGGAGTGGGTGGAAGAAAGAGGGAGAGGAGTGCTGGGGAAAAGACATCAGTAAATAAACCACAAAGGATCAGTGGGTAAATTATGGGATTATCTGAATTATTTGCCTTGGAATTGTATCACAAATATTTCTCTCGAGCCCCATGGGAAAACAAGGCACGTCATTTCTTTCTGGACCAGCCTAGGAAAGGCCAGGCTAAAACCCTTGGAATTGGGTGTGGGGGCACCTCACGGAGGGAGGGCGGGGGGTTGGCCACTGTACCAAATCCCCGTGTCAAAGGGCCTGGGGCCCAAGTGATGCACAAGGCACTCACTGTATGTCCGCATTGTCTCCTTCATAAAAGGGGCTGGGACTGGGAAAAAGGAGGCAGTTTCCAGGATACTGGCCAGCAGCCACTGGAATGCCCCGACCACCCCAGCCCCCAACAGGCTGTAAAGGCA